AAAGCTCTGTTTAATGTGAAATTAACTCAGAGTAAGCATTTTCACAGGAAGACAAATGGTTAGGAAACGTCATGCAGCTGCTTTATCACTACCGGCACTCCTCCTTACCACGGGTCGGTTTATTATGTTGTTCTTTGGAATCAATATCGAGGTTCTGCTGGAGACGGTAGCAATTCAAGTTACCAAATGTACAGTCTAGCAGCAAAAAGGCTTAACCAATTTAGCGCTGTGGGCCGAGCTTCATCATCGATTGTGGTGTGAACTGTACAATCATGCCTTTTACAATGTTTTCGCTGAAACAAAAGGGGCTCGCAATAGGAGCTTTATGCATAAATCAGCAGAGGGGAATCCCGGAGACGCCAAAAAGCATTATTAAGTGCCCGCAACCAACGTATAGTTTTAACTGGAGTCGTCGTTCGTCGATCGAACAGTGTATAAACTTATTTAAGCGGACAGATTATGTTATGTGGAATAATCAACGAGGAAAGCATTTTAAAAATCCAATACATTTGAATGTGTACTCGATTGTGCTCTAAACTAAAGATTCGGATGCCAATGATTGCTCGAGAAGGGAGGCTGAAATTAACCTTCAACCTTGCCATTGGCCTGGGATAGTTTCGTATTTTAATAAGGTCACTTTGAACAGAAACTTTGATGGCAGACGACCCTCAGCTTTGCTTAGACTGCGGCTTATCTAGCGAAACTAACCAGTACCTAGGCCCCGAGGTACCTTGCAAAATAAGTGTCCATGTACTTTGCTATTGCAAACGTTTATAGCACATAGTATGTGATATTTAGTGAGAAACCAATGCCTGTGGTTTAAGTCTGGAAAGATTAGACTTCTAACCGCTAGTAGACTACAATCTAGCCGTTACGAGTAAATATTTCATCTATACAAAGGAAGATCCGCAGGTGATAGCAATAAGAAACAGAACCAAGTTCCAAACCGACAGACAAAAACTATGATAGCTGAAATAGTTCTTACCTTTCAACTTCATCTACACCAGCCAAACCTGACTCGCTTGGAATCACCTCGACGCTATCGCCAAGATTATAACTCAGAGGATATTCAGCTGAATCGGGGCTATCCAAGCGGAAAAGCAGGTGTCCGGCCGTAGACAGGGACCAGGAAGAGATGTCCTTTGGCAGTTCAAGACAGTCGGGTAAAGCAAGACGTGCGTTAGGGAGTGACACTTGTTCAGTCAGACAACAGGTGTTCAAGAAGGTTGAAGATGTTGGAAGACGGTGTCGAAGTCGCCATAGAAGTCCTGGCGAAGCTGGCTCTCGAACAACCTTCTGTGGCTGGCCTCGGCTAGTAGCAACAGAACCAACCAATGGCGTTCTACCAGCAGCACGCGATCGGGCGGTTTTCGGGAAGGGTGCTGCGTGCGACTTGAATTTAGCCAGAGCCATGGTTTCCTGTTGCTCACGAGCCAAAGCACGATCCTTAGTCCTGAGCCAAGAGGAAAGAAAATACAATCTTAAGCTCTAGAGCATATTTCTAGAAAAACATAAAAAAGTACTTCAGACGGCTATCTGTCTAAATAAATTCTGTTAAAGAAGCAGTTTTCACCAAGCGAAGTGGATTGTTTGACTAAAGGAGTTCAATTCAGCGTGGAGTGTTTGGTACATAGAAATATCAAGCCGTCAACAAAGGGATTGTGTTATAATCACGGTAGTATGGAACAGACGAAACAGGTCGATGACGTAAAAGGTCAAAGGGCCTCAGTAAATTCACTGTTTGCGGCCGAAGCTGACGAAAGACCTTAAAGCCTAAGACAAAAATAGGTTCTTGGGGAATAGAGGGGATAGGAGACTTGAAGAAATGAGTAGAATAGAGACAGAGAGGGCTGGGTAGCGGTATCACCAATAGTTTCGTAGACGTCAAAACAAGCAGCTGCACCATTACATGCACATGTTTCCCATGGAATAATTAGGTGCCTCATTGTTACTTAGTGTCTAGTATTCTACAGAAAAATTCATTTTAATCTCCGGGTTGCTTATTCGTTCTCGACGTTGGACAGGGGTAGTGTAGTTAGCATATGTGAGCTCCAAAACAAAAGGCTCTTGTGGACAAACTTTATGCATATAACCAATTAAAATGGCAACAATAAAGTTCCCCGAGATACTTAAATATCCCTAGCCTCAGGATTATGTCTTACGGGAGTGGTGTTAATATGGATTTTATGGTTAGGCCACGCCACAGGAAGGAAAAAATAAATTTAAAAGTAGAGCGTATAAGATTAGAAAATAATAGGAAATACTTATTTAGATAACCAAGAATTTGCGCGCGATAATTAAAATGACAAATACAACCAATAGGAAACAAGAACTGCGCAAAGGTATTTGCAAATAAGTCGAAATTTAGAGATAAAATAAAACCATGAGAGATAGACTTTTCTACCATTTTTTTTAAACCCACAGTAGTTCCTAATGCATTTGGAGAGATATTATAGTACGATAAGTCGAAAAGAAACCGTATGTCGCTTAAAAAAATCAAATTGAATTAAAAAGTAAGCTAACTAAAATATAACAAAAGTCAAACTAAAGTCAAACTAATAAACTAAACAATAAACGGAAGACCTAACTAAAACTAAAATAAACCCTAGGAAGCTAAAGATTTCAGAGTTTTGGGATGCAGTAGTAAACACAACTACGCCTACTAAATTAAATATAGTAGGCATATAAGAATTTATATTTCTGGACCTCGGGCAACTTTATTGTTACCATTAAAATTATAAGACGACTTGTTTTACAACTTGTAGAGAACATTACAGTCAAGAATCCTTACGCAGAGAATGATGCCTTGAAATTACGGCCGTTGAGATGTCTGGCGCACAGCCACGGCATCGAAGGCCGCCTAAGGCAATCAGTTGATTACTCAGCTATGAATAAATCACTAAACTGTTGGCAGAACAGCATAGCTTTACCCGTACAGCTGATTATAACTTCTAAGCAGGGAGAATGAAATATTCAGACAGTTTCAACCAGGCACAAGGAAGCATCAACACTTGGTAGTTATGATGTAGGTCAATTTTTCAAATTAAACCAAGCAACAAGAGAAAAATAAAAAAGGAATCCAAGCCAACTTACGCCTTGGGTGATGCTACATTGCATTGAGGAGAACCACGATTAGTTTCCACAACAAGTGAATTGGGTTCCAAGACGTCTGTTGATGCTTCATCATTACCAAAACGCGGCGATTGTAGCCTAATTGGAATTTCATTACCAGTTTCTTCCTCGGGTGGGAGGGAGGCCGTACCAGACAGAGTATATGCATCGGCACTTCGAACGGTAGGTTGGGCCCGTAAAAATATTTTTCCATTTGAAGATGATCCGAAATTCGTGTTAAAACCCAGTTCAACTGCTTCAGCACACAATACAACTGACGAAATTGGTCCCTGAGATGGCGTATTTGATGGCAAGACCGAGTGAAATTTTCTGGCGTTTTGAGGAGCCCGCTCCAATTTAGAGTCCGATGATGGTGGTGCATCTATACCATGTAGTGTTGGCAGCTTATCCGTAACTGCAAAATCCGATCGATTAGCTTCTTCTGTGGACGATGGCCGAGCACGAGTATCAGACGCGACCGGAACCGAGCCACCACTACCAGTTAAAAAACCTGTATTCCTATTTGAAAGATCTCGTGAATGAGAAACCTTCACTTCTTTCTCGGCAGTTGGCTGCGCGTCCACCCTCCGTGTAACTTTTTCAGTCGGACTTTCACGCACATGCTCCTTGACTAGGTATTTTGGGTGATTACCAGCGTCGACCGATGAATAGGAGATAGCAGAGCCTTTGTCATTTGAATAACTATCAAACACATGATTATTATTAGCTTCGGAGACATTAAGCGCCGGTGGGGTCATGCAATTTTCATTTCGCTGCTGACACCCGTCTACCAAGGGTTCATCTAGACACTCTTTAAGCAGTTCTCTTACACGCTGTGGTACCTCGGCAGATGTTATGGAGATGGATGCGCCTTTGCCTGTGGAAAAACCTGTTATTATTGGAGCAGAACTTGCATCCGGAAGAGGCTGACATTTTAATATGGTTGGCTCCTTCGCAGCGGCTTTCGGGGTTTTGTAAGGACTGATGGACTCCGTGATTTGCATACCTACCGGTTCAATCAAAGAGTCTGCCACAAAACCTGTTGGTCGACAAAGTTGTTTGGTTGTTAGCAAGGTGGTCCCAGCTTTCTCTTTTACCAAACCGGTAGCACACAAAGCCTTACTTTTATCTGGTGCAAGCTGAAGTTCTTTCAGTACCGGCAACCTGTTTCGTGAATTTTCATGCACGGGGATTTTTTCCAATTCGCTAACGGATTCATTCAAGCAATCGGCGAAAAGGGCTTTTGCGCGTATGAGGGCTTTGGTTGATTTAACTGCTATGGAAGCCCCCTTGCCTGTCTGAAATCCAGTACTCTTACGGGAGCCAAGTGACGCTGAACATGGTGACGATTGGGGGGCTACGCACGGTTGAATACGCTTAGGACTCGATCCCGAAACAGGCTCATGCGCGGACGCTTCAGGTATACTCTTGGCGAAGTGGCGAGAGTCAGATGACTTTAAACCAGACCTTGCACCCCCATCGGCGACTAAACTACCTGTCACCCAGGCATTTCTTTTTTCTGAAGGAAGAACATGACATGTATCCGATAGTTTCAAGGATTTACCAGTGCTTGCAATCGAGATGCAAATCTTTGGCGAAAAAACATCGCTTATGAGATCTTGAGGCGCGGAAGTTGCGGACATGGATTCCAAATCTCTATTCATGTGTTCGCCGCTGGTTTCATTAAAACAATCAGCGACTAAACCCTTCGCGTGTTGAAGTGCAGCAGCTGAAGATATGGAGATGGAGGCACCTTTACCGGTACAAAATCCAGTGACTGAAGGAGAATAGTTAATGTTTTCCCGAGTTATGTCTTTTAGGGGGGAATACCCATTTATCCTTGTACCTCGAGGTTGTAATCCAGAGTTCATATTTGATTTTGTGCTCCCATGATATCGAGAGATTTCCGTTTCGATGTGCAATAAGGAGGCATCAGAATTGTTTGGTGGTTCAGTAACTAAGTTCGTATTTTTTGAAGCGAAGTTTTTTTCCTTGAGACAGTTATCGGCGAAAAATGTTGATGCGGATTCGAGTTGCGAGTTCCGAGACGAGTTAGCTATAATCGGCCCACCGTGATCTGAAAATAACCATACGATTAATTTAGGTTAAGGAAACCAAAAGCAAAAAAAGGAATCGAACTCTTCACCTTGGTTAGGAAAGTCATAAAGTCGAGTTTCATCGAGCATCTGGGTTAAGTTAACGGATTCGAAATTATCTTCAAAGGCTTGTGTGCACGAAGGTGGCGTCTTCCGATTACATAAAACTGCAGATTCCTGTTGGTAGACATCTTCGGCAGTGGGGTAGACAAAAGGAATGGAAAAGGTGAAGACATCACTTGGTGGAGGCTGAATTGTCTTCCACAAATCAGGTCAAAGAAACTCAAAAACAAACCTGTCGCAATTTTTCAACACGAGGAGAAGCTAGAAGAATGTAAAACTGAAGTCATGAGCCTACAAATTTGGTCCTGTGGAGTGAAAAGTGGTTTATTGAGAGACGATGGACGGGTGTCTGCATCAAATGATTAGAAACAATTTTAAAATTACTTTTGAAATTGACTTTTGAAAAAAATGACCCAATGTCAATGGCTTCGCAGGAGTCAATAGCAGCCTCAATCAAACTTTTTATAGTAACATGCGTCATCCTTCCGCAAACACGGAGACGAAACACCCTATATAAAAAACTCGTCTTTGGCAAACGTATACTACTTCCATTTTCTTGATGCATATAAACAATATGACTTGTGAATGCTCCAGCGAAGTGGAAGACAACTCTGCTGTTATTTAGAAGTCTTAGCTTGCTGATCTACAGTGCGCACCCGCCGTACATTCCTTTAAACTGTCTTCTGAAAATAAGGGATCTTGATCTCGGACTTGCGAATACCACTGCAGAATGGGTTGCCCGATTATACAAAAGTAACTTCAATGGATATTATTTAGTACATTAAGTCAGAACTTTTAAGTCCTTTTAGTACTAGACTTTCTCCTCCGCGCGCATTGAAAAGGTGGTTAACCTAACAACCTGTCCGTCTTGATCTATTCTTTATCTATTGCCTACTTAGGAAGGCCGAATAGGCGACACCTACTTTTTGGAACAAATGGAAATTTGTCAGTCAAACTAATTAATGTTGGTGACTTCAATGCCAAACGAATTAAAGGGATCACTGTTTAATCCTCGGGCCAAAAATCTGGTTTCGACTATTGATTTCTACACAAGCATTGAAGGTTATGCTCATACAACACATCCTGTTTCCAACCAGAGCAAGTAGAGGGCAGAGGGCTCATCATCTCGACCTAGTTTTGAAGATGGCATCAGGCAGCATCAACAAGACCATCTCTATGCCACCGCTTGGTCGAAGTCACCATGTTGTACTTATGTGGGTCTACGCGTTATTATTTGTTTTACCTACTGTTGACGATAAATGGGAAACATTCGGCAAGGTCAATTTTACCATATTGGAGAAACTTGAATGGGCCTCGACTGGACCTCACTCTTAATGGGGAATGTAAACAAAGATTCGGAGTTCTTTACGGATGTATTTCTACAACTCACCAACAACCACTTTCCACTGACAG